GTCTACTTACTTTCAGTACAACGGTAAACACTACAAACAGTTACAATCACGACCGACTTACGTCACTTGAGTCTTACAGCCAATAACATCACGGCAAAACCAACCGATCATTTCACACGAACTGGAATAAGAACATTCTACTGACAACAATCATTCACTTGACTCTGATGATGACTTCCGCACAGGTTGTCGAAACGTCAGTCACTGCCACCGACAACAGTCCTTCTCAGGACTACACTCACCCGGACGATCAGACTACACCTTCACATGTTACCCCCGGGTTCAAACCATTTACTGCACTAGACTTATAAGCAAGGATTCCAAAAACTTCTCCTCTTTAAACACTTTTAATGATAAATTGATACACTCGCTGGCTTTACAAACATATTTCTTTACAAAGTTGAACCTTTCAACAAAACTGTAAAATACGCTTAATAGTTACCTTCAAAGGCAGCTCATGATACTTACTGTAGACACAACAGAACACAGTGGTAAAATGCTCTGCTACTCGAATTATTTGAGCTTTTAGGACTAACGGTTCTTCTATTGCAAACATAAGCTGACGCGGGTTTTTCAGCCGAGACAACAAACTTTCTCTCCGGGGGGTTTTGACTACTGACAGAGGTGGCAAGAAGCGTTAAAGCGATAACAGGCGCTACGATACTCACTCTAGACACACAGCAGAACATAGCAGCAAAATGAGTGCGCATGCTCCGCTACCTCACTCGAATTATTTGAGTTTTTTAGGGCTCACGGTTCTTCTATTGCAAACGTAAGCTGACGCGGGTTTTTCAGCCGGGACAACAAACTTTCTCTCGGGGGGGGTTGACTACTGAAAGAGGTGGCAAGAAGCGCTAAAGCAATAACAGGCGCTACGATACTCACTCTAGACACACAGCAGAACATAGCAGCAAAATGAGTGCGCATGCTCCGCTACCTGACTCGAATTATTTGAGCTTTTTAGGGCTTACGGTTCTTCTATTGCAAACGTAAGCTGACGCGGATTTTCCAGCCGAGACAACAAACTTTTTCTCTGGGGGTTTGCCTACTGAAGGAGATGGCCAGAAGCGCTACAGCGATAACAGGTGCTACGAACTTCTCAGCCATGTTACGGCTGCTCAACTTCAGTCACTAAATTCACACCTGTTACCAAAAACCTTTTCTCTTTGTGTGAGATATATGAGGTTTGACCACAGCTTTTCTGAAAACAGTAACCTTATTTGTTTTGATTTGGGCCTATCTCCCACGAATTGAAAACAAACAATGAGAATTTTAAAAAATGCTTCCATTTTGCCTCGATAGTGTTACTATGGAAATATTGTCGTTCCCATTCCTTTGCACGCGTAAATTTCTCGCGAGTTACAAGCATGTGCACTCATTTTTCCACTGTGTCCTCGCTCTATAGTCGCATTTGATCGAGAAGATAGTGTGAACTAAAAATTATATTTCTTAACATCGTCGTTTTGAAGTATTTGTACATCGATAAAAAGATTTGATCACACTATCTCCATCTACACTCGATTTCCATCCCTATCAGCCGTGGTGTATACTTTTTCTACAGAAAAACTTTCACTCCAAGAATTACTTATAAAATTCCTTGGCTTGCATCTATTAAACTTCCGTGAAATACAAATATAATTTTTCTATGGCTTTACTTCTGGAGAACTGAAATGACGTTAATTTTTCGTGCTGGAAACTTTAGGTTTTTCAAGGCTGATGGATCACAGACTCTGTGATAACCTACAAAAAAAATACAAAGATTTAGCACCTATACAAGCCATGTACTACTCCTTTCCACAAGCTAGGCTACCTGTGGTACAAAGCGGGAAATGATTTATCAACTATGGGATACGAGACGTAACGTCATGACCGTCAAGAAGGACGACGCCATCTTGGTTTTTAAAGAAAATTGGATTTTCTTTGAGATGCATGGAAATGTGACGAGTAAAGTTTGTAAATCGTTATCAGAAATAGCTCTTGGAGACAAATGAACAGCTGAAGCAAATGAAAGTTTCTGTGGTAAAATTGCATTTTAAGACTACATTGACTTTATGATGTCAAACAGTTATCATGTTGATCGAAGAACTTACAATGGGTTTTAATGAAAACTCGAGTAAGTGATAAGTACTTACATTCCGACAACGAGGCCAGATGCGAAAATGAACACAATGTGTGGAGACAACACTAAAGAAAAAAAGAACAGATTTTTGTTAAGTTTAGGAATTTCTCTTGTGGAGAGTAACTTGTTAGGCTCATTAATAGAGCACTGCAATAGCATAGTATAGGTCATGGGTGTAAACTCCCGTGCAGGCCTGAATTTTTTTCAGGCCATATTTTTACTACTGATTAAGTTAAGTGTCCATAACTGCGGAGATCACTCTCATATTCAGTTATTAATCCACACTTCGCAAATATGATATTCATATAATC